ATGGGGGGAGAGAGAGAGATATGGGGGAGAGAGAGAGAGAGAGATATGGGGGAGAGAGAGAGAGATATGGGGGGAGAGAGAGAGAAAAGAAAGAAAGAAAGAAAGGAAGGAAGAAAGAGAAAGAAAGAAAGAAAAAAAAGAAAAGGAGATGAAAAAAGAAAAGGGAGAGAAAGAAAGGGAGATGGAGAGAGAGATGGAGACCGTAAGGAAGAGAGAGGGATATGGAGAGAGAGAGTGTGAGAGAGGGGGGTGATGAAGAGAGAAAGAGAGGGAGAGAGAAAGGGTGATAGAGAGAGAGGCCAGGAGGGAGACAGAAAGAGAGGAAGATGGGGAGAGAGAGAGAGAAGGAAAGAGAGGGAGATGGGAGAAAGAGAGAGGAATATAGAGAGAGGGAAAGATATATAAAGAGTTAGAAGATAAATTATGAGGGAGAAATAGATAAATGGAGAGAAAGATATATAGAAAGTGAAAGGCACATAGAAGCAGAGAGATACAGATGCAGACAGAGATAAGGGGGATGAAGAGCAAAGAAAATAAAGAAGAGCAATGGAGAAAGAAACAGGCATGGAAAGGTAGGAATATGAAGGAAAGAGAGAGGAGAGAGAGAGACAGAGATAGAGAGAGAGAGAAGTTGGGAGGAAGGGAGAAATAGGATGAGTTATACTGAAAAGAGCAAGAAGAATTGAGTGACAGGAGCATCGAATCACCAAGGACTCGTGTCTGTATTTAAAAGCAGAGATCGCAGTTCAGACTCCTCAAGATATCTCGCAGCTCAACCAGAGCAGAGGATCAGCGTGACTGCAGCACACACAGGTAGAGCACTGCCATTACATCTCACTGGATATACTTGTATTACACTAACTTTTGCTTTTTATACGTATTGTTTCATTTTAGAATATTCTGGCACTTTAAATTAGTACATTGTATAAGAGTAGCTAACCCCTTTAAAATGTTCTTTTGGATGTTAGTGGCAATTCTTTATGAATGCAATGCACAGCATGTTAAAAATAATAGATTGTATATGAAATATATCACTACATAAGTTTTTCACAACAAATGTTACCGTCTTGGCATCTTATTTTTGCTCAGCAAATGTGAAGAACACACTGGGATGACTATACTATATGAAAATGTGATACCATTGTAGTTCTTTTCTGCTTATTTCAGCTTTAGTACATATTTTATGGTTAGATTTGCTAATGCTCTCTGATACATTTGATTTTGTTGTGCTTGATTGTACATGAAATAACTGAAAATACATAAATCATACTATTAGTGGAGGAGAAGCTAAATCATATATAAATACGCTATGGTCATGGTAAAAAATATATATATATATATATTGTATATCACTTACCCAAACTGTATGAGGGTAATTTCAAAAGAAATTTCCCCTAACTGCATTGTGTACTTAAACTAAACTAGGCTTAAATGACTGCTACTGTCATTGAACGCTTTTATTTAATTTTCACACACAAACTTGAGGTTGCTAAGGGAGTATTGTCTGCATTAATTACAGTATGAATTTATTTTAGAGCAATAGATAGATAATGTTTTTAGGTCCTGTGCGGAGTTAGCATTGAGGGGCAAATGCCTTCAGGGAAAGAATCTTAATTCTTTAATTACAAAGAATTGAAGACTATATATTGCATTATTTTGGAGCAAGGAAACATTAAAGAGGGTCTATGAAGTCCATAAACTCCCACAAAACATAATATACCAATTACATTCTTAAATGAACTGTGAGTGAGGAGGTAGGTGTATGATATGAGGAAAGAACTGAGAAGGTGTGTAATAAGTCTAGAATCAAATTGTTTACACTTCATGCAGAGGTGGAGGCTCTCATGAACAAATTATTGGAATAAGGAGTCTATATGAATTCAATGTTATCAGGTGCATTTTGCAAATAAGTAATAGTAATCATTTTCTTTTGAGCTGTCTGTGTTCTTAAATCTTCAGAATATTGGTTTGAATGGGATTAGTTAATGAATTAGTTTTTATGAAATCAACCATTTACATATAACTTCATGGAAGATGAGACCTTGGACCAGGGAGAATTACATGACACGGTGTAAACGACAATCTAAACATGCTAACACAAAAGTGCCGAGCTTTATTTCTTAATTACCCTGTGGAGCAATGTTTGTAGTCTAAACTTAAGACATCTCTAATTATTGCAGACCTTAATGGAGAAAGTTTCCATCCAGGTTTAATTAAAACCTAACATTAACTGCTACTGTGGGATATTGCACACATTTATTTTTATAGCAAAATGAACATAAGGTCATTTATTCTAAGACCCTATTGTACATGGTGACAATTTGATATTGAGTTGCCTTGTGTTTTTCACTGGGCTGATTGACAAGAGAACTGAATGTATAGCTATGTTTACTCTACATTATTAATCTTACCAAAAATTACAGAAACTGATTTTTGTTTATAAAATTGGGTTTATATATTTTTTCTTCAAATGTCAAAACATAAAAGAATGTATGTTACAAGGCAAGAGCAACAATTAAAGTTGCAGTTGTGCTAACATCAAACAGTTCACCGTTGGGGCTTGGTGAAACTGGGGGTACAATTTACAGCAACCTGTAGCACAGGCAAAATGTTTGTACTTGTTATAGTGGAATTAAAGTATAACAAAAAATGTCTTGCAGGCAGAGTTTTTTGGGGGTAAAAGCAACTGTGTAAGTATCTGCTGATGAAAATAATCTGCTTCACCTGTCTGCTACCAATTTTGTGCTTTGTGTATAATGCCTGTTGCACATGCCACTGTACACTCCTGGCCCATTCCAGGCATCTGTAAGATATCTGCAAGAATAGAACTAGGTGCCAGGACAATGTAAATCCACCATGCGTTCGCAGAAGTTACATCATAAGTGCCTGACCAATGGGTGAAGAGTGCGTAGCACTCCAAGCTTTAAAGCCTTGTTGCTATGGGATATGGCTTTATACATCAACAAAGAAAATGTACACCCCCTTGTCATGTGACATTTCTTTGCTTATAAACAAATCTTTAATTTAATCATGTCAGGACATGCAATTGGGTTGATTTACTAGAAGGCTGTTATTTCGCAAGGTAATTGTCACAATCTAGAAACGGGGGCACTAGGGATCATGAGCTCCAGGATTTGTGGAGCTGTCTGGAACAGGGAACAGGCTGGGAACGTAGGTCTTGGGGAGTGAATGAACGCAGGTTATGCTAAATGCAGGGAGCCAATGACAGGGTATCTGCACAAGAGGTGTGGGTGTGCCAGAGGCGCAGGGTCTAAGGAGAGACTGGTCTTCTCCAGAGCCAGTCAGCATCCAAGTTGCAGCCCTCCAACACATCTGTGCAGACACAGTTGACTAAAGTGCAATGGGAATATTGTGTGGGTCCAGGATAGACAAGTAGGTCAAGAGACCAAAGAAAGGCACAAAGGGTCACCAGGAGAGACAGAATCCCCACAGGGGAAAGAGACACGGTGACACAACATACACAGGTGAATAGTTGCAGACAGAAAATGGGGACAGGGTCCACACAGAATGCAGGATACACAGGATAGTGCTGCATGCCAGAAAAGGGGTCTGAGTCCACAGATAATACAGGGTACAGAGAATAGGTGAGGATACACAGAAAAAATCCCAGATTCAACGTGGGTCACAGAAGTGGAATGTACAGCAGTGCTAACTCAATAAACATGCATAACACAGGAGCACAGGTGGCTCAAGGGAACACACAGGAATGTGAAACCACTGGGAAACAGAGTACAAGGCAGTGCTTACAAGGAGCGTACATACGCAAGGGTACAGGGCAGAGAGACAGATATGCACAAGGGCTGTGCGTTACCTACGTATGCACACGAGGAAGGCTGAAGGCACACAGGAGGTGGTATATTGGGAGTAAGATAGCCTAGTACAATAGTACCGAAGCATGGCGCAGGACACAGGGAAGGGTACTCACAAGGAATGTGGGAAAACAGGTACACAGTGAAGCATGGAAACCACTACAGTACTGTAGAACACAACACATTGTGAGACTTAGAGGGTAGCAAGGGAAGGCAGACGCACACAATGAAGTGAGGGAACACCAAGCAAATAGGAATCAGGCAGTTCAGGCTACTCACACCACCCAGGTGAATGCAAAGTGACTTCCACAGGGGAACACTAGGGACTGAGAGCAAACAGGGAACAGCAAGGAGGGTAAACTGCCAAGTAGGAAATCCACAGGGTTACACAAGAAGTCCAGAGGGACAAGGAATCATAGAATATCTACAGAAACTCCAAGGGAACACAGACGGGTCTGGCAGCAGGAAACAGACTTTTTGCTCAAACGCTGAGCAACAGGTGAGCTGAGTCTAAATAGGGGAGGTGAAGACATGATTGACTGCAGCCCTGTGACCTCCCATAGGCTGGCAGCCAAGCACCTAGGACAGAGGTAAAAATCTGGTATGGAAGCCAGGTACGTCTGACAGGAATTTCCCCTTAACTTAGTGAATGTGGTGAGAATTCGCTTGCACAGAATACACAATCACATGCAAGGAAAATAAATAAACTGTATTTTCCTTGCACGTGATTGAATGATGGAAGTCAGCAGAGCTTCACCTCATTCACTAAGCTAAGGGCAAATTCCCTTGTAAAGTGAACAGCATATTTGCCTTCAGTAAATCAATCCCGTGGTGATCACTTGGGTTTATTAATAAACAAAACCATGAGATCACACATGATGTGACAAAAACATATTTTGCTATTAACCTTCTTGGGGGTATTCCCGAGTGTGGCTCGGGGTTAATTTTCCGTACCAAATGTGGTAACCCAGAGCCACACTCTGGATTACACATCGCTTCACTTACCTTCTCCCTACGAGCCGCGCTATGTCCTCCGGCCAATGCCGGCATCCGTCTTCCGGGTTCCGTCCCTTGCGAGTGGCTGCGTCCCAGGGGGGCGGAACCAGCGGGAAATTTAAAAAATAAATAAACGGAAAAGAAAAATAGACACAAAAAAACAAGCAATATTGGGAAAAATCAGACCGCGAGGAGGTTAAAATAAACCAAAACATAAGTTGAAAAAACATTCTCAATCCTTTGTGTGTCCTATTGTTTTCTTTAGCATTTTGTTGCTATTGGACATTATTTTGTACTGTCTCTTTACACTGCATTTTATTCAACATGTTTGTCTTGCTGCAACTGTCCAAATGAACCCCCCAAAAAAGGAACAAACACAAAGAACAGAGAATTTATTTTTTCAAATGAACTCCATCTTGCCCAGTTGTATAGGCCCCTCCTTGTCCTGAAATTGCCCACTCTGATTTCACTGTACAATGTAAGCTTCTCACAGTGTACCGAAGGTGCAGCATGTCAGATAGAGCCCACCTTATTTCCTGGCTCAAATATGTCGAGCATCATTTAGCCTTTTCCTCCCCAGCCCTACAGTCCCTGGCCCATCCCTTTCATTCATTGGATTTTAGTTCTTTCAATCATATAGACTCAGCATCACATGTAGGCATTACCTAGGGCAGTCTGCATGGTCCTCTAGGGTGATATTCACCCATTTGATATCTGCATAACTTCTCCCAAGAGCCATCCCATTAGTTGTAGTAATCCTGAGGGCTTGTGAGAGGAGCACTAAGTCAGGGTGTTGTGATGTTTTTAGGAAGCTATGTACATGTCAGCTCCTCACACCAGCCATGATCTGCCTGCAGTGCATAGAGAAGTATAAAAAGCAAGGGATGATCCAAAATAAGGCATGTAATGATAACAGAAAGGTTTTTTAAAGAATTTCATTAGCATGTTGTTAGGGGGGGGGGGGGGGGGGGAGGATTTGCAATGTCTTCATCACATCATGTGTGATCACATGGTTTTGTTTAACAACAAAGTCATGTGATCGCCCTGTGTAGTTAATGTGAAAAATAAACATCAAATAACAAAAAATGATATAATACAACATAAACCTCAAGAGCTATATAAAGTCCATTGCATTTTTTTATTTAAAAAAAAACCCTTTAAGCACCTTCATTTTGAAGAACATTCAGTGAAATGTCAGAAATTTGGTTGAAATTGAAAATGTTACTCCTTAATTCCCTAATTAAGACATTTAATATTTAGTGTGGTAAATCCACTATTTCGATCGACCGAATGTAACCATCACACTCAGATAGCTGTGTGTTCTCCCAATCCTAGGTCAACCCAGTGAAGTGAGTTTTGTGCAATATTAAGAATAATAGTGATTATAAGTACAAATACACAAATATACTTGGAAGGAAAATATGTAATAGGCAGACAAATATGGTGGTGCTGAGGAGTCCCGACAATATGGCCATCTTAATGACACTTTTTGATAAACCGGTCCTCTGTATTATAGCATAGCTAATGCACTTTTTTTTTCTGTGGTGGAATAATAAGCAATACAATTCTTGCCTTGAATTTACATCACTGGGTTGCAGTAATGCACGCATTACCTAATGCATTACCAAACCATGCAATGCACCTGATGGGCAGTGGTGCGATGGGGTGCCAATAATTTTGTTTGGTACCCCACTGCATCTTCACAATGCATCAGTGTGCGCTGCGTCACAAAAAAAAACTTGCAGGTATCTGCCTCAATAGAATGCATGATAACCAATGAGCACAGTGGTATATCCACCACTTGAAAGAGGCGTCACTGCTCCGACTGTTGCTGTCATTTTTCAACCCACACTGCTGCTAGTTAGTTGCTAGGACTGCCTAGTGTCGTAGCAACCAATCTCCGGCAGCCATAGAATTGAATGATTGCAGCGTGCATATATGCCGTGTTGAATGCTGGGACGCTGGGCGGTCCTAGTAACCAACCACCAGCAGGGTCATGCAACCTCTGAAATCTTTTAACTCCCTGGCTGCTGGTGACTGGTTGCTAGGATGCCAGGTGTTCCTAGCAACTAACCAGCAGCAGCAGGGGTTGAATAATGACAGCAGCAATGACTAGCATCAGCGCCGCCCAGCATCCTAGCAACCAACCAATGACATGCTGCCTTCCTGGGCCCCGTCCTTCCCAGTATTCAACTCTACATATATGCCTGATGGCTGCCCCCCACAGTCAGCCTCCCAGTAAGCTACTGTCTGGTAGGGTCGCATAAAGGGGAATTCTGGGGAGTCTGATGTAAGGAGGGATTCTGGGGATTCTAATGCAAGCAGGGCTCTGGGGACTCTGATGTAAGGAGGGACTCTGATGCGAGTTTGACTTTTTTGAGTTGGTAATATGGTAAATTTATCTAAAATATAGGTGTCAGTTTTTGGAAAGGGGTACATTTTCAGTGCTTGCCATAGGCACTATTATCCATAGATGCGCCATTAGCATTAATATAAGGCACCAGGTAGGCCCTAGTATTTCATTAATTAAAACATTTTCTGGAATGGTCCAGAGGCCCTGGGTAACTGCCCATTTTGCTTTAGCCCCAAATTCTAGCCACACTTACTTGGTTAATACTTTTCTTTTCTCGTTATTCAAAAAAAGAACATGAATTAATGTGATTTAGTTATCACAACTCATTGGGTCAAGAAATAGATAATTTGGCTCATCATATAATTTTACCTCTTGTTTTCAAAGGACCTTTAATCCTATGTTAAAAGATATAGCAACAGATGTCACGGAAGTCTTGGAATAGCACCCTGGGGTCCTTCTTGCTTTTGACTTTAGATGAAAGGGCAGAACAGTCAGCTAGAGGATGCCCTTCAAAGCAATGATAAAACCAGTGTGTAAGAAGTCTAGGATGATAGAGTTTCATTTGGTCTGCAGTACTTAGATTTCGTTTTTTAAAGGGAATCTGCCAGCATAACAAATATAGGAGTCATTTCTGACTAATGTTTGAATATGTATTAACCTCCCTGCTATGTTATTTAGTGATTTATTGGCCCATATTTGAAGCACCAACCTAACACTTTTTCAGGTCTTCAACTCACCAAGTGGTTAAGCAACGACAAAGGTGAAAATCAAAGCCCCAGAGCCCATACCTTAAAATAAGTAAAAATAAGTCCGCTCCTTTCTGTACTAGCATATTGAAATACTACAATACACAAAAAACATATTTAAATAACCAGTGTATAACAAACCATAGGTAGATTAAGGCAGATTAACTTTCTACTAAACTGAAAACCCTTCCAGCTTGCATATTTCTTGAAAACAGCTATAGTTCCTCTTTAAGCAAAGCCTTACCAACTTGAATTGTACACAGTCTAGAAGAAATTGCAGGTTACCTGCATTGTAATCGACTTGCTCTTACCAAACTTGCCAAATGGATTGTTGGTCACTTTATACTCTAATGTGACACTAGAGAGCGCATCAAAATAAATCCTTAGGTACAACTCCCTCTCCAACAAGCGCTCAGGAGAACAGGCACAGTAGTGACTTGTGATAGGTAAACTTGCTTGGGTCCGATCCATGGGTGTGTTTGGTGATCGCACCAAAAGGTTCACCAGTTTCAGGACCTTAATGCAAACCCCATTGAAGTAAAAAGAAGGAACATTTTGAAAATCAGTTCTCTCCATTTTCAAGGCTAATAGGCAAAAGATTGTCAAACAAAGGACATGGGGAGCTGGACACTGCCCTGGGGTACATGTACCACTGCAAAAGGAAAAATATTTACAGAAATACCACACATCGGATGCACTTCCTACTTGCCACCCAATAGGTGCATATAAAGAACCTTTGCCTCTTCCTTTAGGTCTCTCAGACATGATGGCAATAGGGGATTGCCTAATTTTTTAGCAGCTATAGCAATAGATGGATTGAAGATGTGCTGCTTTGGTGCACTTGACATTTAAGTGGTAATAATCAGGTAATTATGTGCAGTAACCTGGATCATAATAGTGTACGTTGATGTGCTGCTAACAAAGTGCAGTTTTGTATGTGTCACCAACAAGTTCATGCTGTTGACCCCAAGAAGAAAAACTGAAAGACCCTATTAAAAAAAACCTCCCTCGAAATTTTTTTTTACTAAAACCCTAAACCCCAAACAAAAACCCAAAAACAAAAGAACCCAAAACGTTTTTTTTCCGAATTTTTTTTTTCTTATTTTGCAAAAAAAGTGTGTAAAACTATAAGAAAAAAATATATAAATACCCTCACAGCAACAGAAGTTGCGAATGCAAAGGGTGGTATACAGTCACATGACAATGCAATTCACAGTGATAGAGCACTGATGCAACTGAACAACACAGTGAATATAGGGGGCTACACTCCACTTTCTGCAGCCCACAACACTGCAATTCACTATAATATAGCGGTGGCATTACGCAGTACAGAATTTAGCACTGCATAAGTAAAGCACATTACTAATATTGTGAAAGTAGCACAGAGGGTCATTCCCTCACAAAGAACTTGCCCATAAGGTTCCCATCTTGGGCAAACAGCAAACATGGAAAGTTTAGCGCAAATCCAACTCGGAGGCGAATGCAAACTTTATCCTTAGTAGGGATGAGGTTCAGGTTAGCCACTGAGTTGGGTTCACAGCGAACTTCGAATATTCGCCCAAAGAGCAAACTTATGGGCACCAAAAGTGAACCTCCTGCAGGGAAGTGAAACGTATTACCACTGCTGCTAAATGTGACAGCTTACCCTCATGCTAGTTGTTAGGAAGCCATCAGCTGTTTGTCCACTGAGTCATCCCCGCCTGGCCCATTCAGCTGTCAGCCAGGTATTCTGGCTGACAGCTGAATTTAAAAAAGGTAAAAAAAAAGTGAGGTTCCCCCCAAATTCTATACTAGACCTTTCATGTCTGGCATGGATTTGAGCAGGGACACCTAAAAAAGAAGTGGGGTCCCCCCAAATTTCATACCTGGCTATTTAAATAGCCTTTTGGGTCTGGATTGGGTATGGATTTTGAGGGGGAACCCCACACAAAAAAACCCACATTATTTTTTCTATATACCCTTCTACTGTATATACTCTATATAAGATAGCAAATCTTCACTTTTTGAGTGCTTCTTTTTTCATACACCTGCACTTGCTATGCAGCAAGCTGAATACATGACACAGAGCACTAGATAAACATGCAGCTGTTCTTGTGGAAGATTGTTCTATTTATGTTTTAGAATTGCTGTTTCAAGACCGATTTACTGTTTGCTTGAATATTGATGTTTTTGGCTCCTATTTCCAGCAGGTGAAGCAAGAAATTGAGGAACGTCGAGAAAATGAGGAATAATGCAGTTGGTCTGGCAATTCTTTTCCTCATGGCAGTCCACACGTGCCGTGGAGGCTGTGGGGAGCCACAAGACACACAGGGCTCAGGTGCTCAGTACAAGGTAGGACACAAAAAGATCATAAGATGCTGTGAAGCCAAAATAACTTTTTCCTGATCCACTGCTATATTATATAGTGTACAATACACAAGAAATAGGAATAATTGTAAAAAAAACAAATCAGGCTATTTATGTGATTTGAATGCTTCTAACTGAAACACCTTGTATTTCTATGATATACAACCTATCAATGTACCAAAAATCAGCACCTCATTAATAAGAGACAGAGCTTCAGTGATGTTAATGGTTCCTCGGAACCTGGCTATGCAATTGGCCAGTCAAATAAATGGTTGTCTACACTGCTCATTTGATCACTAAAACAAAAGGTGGAGTAAATAGACTAATATATAAATAAAGGAAAAAGTGTGGATTCAGAGCATGAAAAAAGCACCACTCAGGTCCATTGTCGTGCATTAAATGCAATGCATTAACTTCATTTGAATGGCCTCCCTAACACACCACAACTGAAAATCATGCATGCACCATATTCTCCAGCGCAAAACACCCCACACACGGTAATACGTTACCTTGTGTTACAGTGTGCTGCATCGTAGTTGCATTAGGAAGGTGCATTGGGGGGAATGTCATCGTATAACACCAGTGTGAAAAATGTGGTGTTACTGCAGCACACTTGTGTGAATGGGCCCTGAAGGAACCCTTTCCTTTTCCATTGCCAGTATTTACAGAAACTGCCAAATATGAAATATTGAGCTTAGAAATAGCTCACAGGTGCAACCAATTTACTAATATACTTCTGTGATCCACAGTCAGAATGTAGTAGACTACCACTTGCTATATGCTGACAGCGCAGAGCTGTGCTGCAGCTAGGAAAGATCCCAACAATATTGTCGGGATCCACCCTGCTGCCTTATTGACAGCTGGCTCTGCTTCTCTAGAACCAGCTATGCCCACCCCATCCCTTGTCCTTCCAATAAGCACTGGAGGAACAAAGAGGGGATGGGGAAATCCCGGTGGGAGTGGTGAATGACAGTCACCACTCTCTGCAGGAAGAAGCTGTGAGCTTAGCAGAGGTTTGTGATCGATCAGTTCTGGAGCTATAGAGCCGGCATGTGACAGTTGCAGTGTCACACGCTGGCTCTAAGTATTGGGAGAGTGCATTTCACTCTCCCATTACTTTTCCTTTAATATTTTGTGATTGCTGGTTTTCAGCCACAAGGCTAGATTCCCTGCTCTTTGTTCTTCTTGAACTTTGTGGGTTTCACCATGGAATAGCCAGACCCACAATACATACTGTAACTTTGCAGCAAATATTTATTTGTTAGTATTCACAAATATCCTGTAGATTTGGGACTCACTACTGACCCACATTATCATTATAAAACCCAAAATAAAATGTTTTATATATTGTAGCTTATCAGGCCTTATATGTGATGGCTGCATTAGTTTGCTTTTTTATCAGGCTTCTTCCTTTATTTTCACCTAGCAATACAGCTAATAACACACTTTCTACCCCTGGGTGGCTGTGCTCACTCTTCCTCTGTATATTTGTAATTGAATGTCCATCATCCAGTACATTTAATCTGTTCAAATTTCAATATTCAGACTGTATATGAGGTATGCTCAACTTGCCTCAACTGAGTAAACACTGTCTGCTGATAGCTTGTTGTTCCTCTCTGTGTTATAAAAATGTTTTTGTTTATTATTGCCAGAGTTAAAGGTAACATTATTTTCAGTCAAGTAAGCATGAATCATTGTATGTAGATCTTTTGTATTTTCTTTACCAGGCAGGTAGAGTTCTCAGCTCTTTTTCAACAACTGCTCTGTTGTAAAAAGTCTGTAATTTACAGAGCTCAGTTGCTCAAGCTCCAATGTATACATACAGAAATTATTCAAAGTAATATCCTCCCTCTTTCCATGTTCTTTTCATGTCAGGGGTCTATGCTGTTTCAGTTAGATAATCAGAGAGAGAAACAGCTTCTGCTCTGTCAATCCTGTGTCATCAATGTCAAATTTTCTTTTGTAAAACAGATATTTTATATAAAAAAGGAAAAGCCTAGGGTGCATGCGTGCATTGACCAGTGATGGATATGTCCTGAACATTTTGCACACATCCCTGGAGCCATAAAGTGATATTAAATTTGAAAGGTTTTTAAACTATTTCAAATGCTGATTAAATCACTTACAATGGATACTGCTTCTTGATGTTTAAAGGTTTTAGCTTTTTGAAGAATTAGCTGGTCATCTGAGCACTGGCCCTGATATTCTGTTTCAGAGTGTCTCTTGTCCCTTGCAGATTCATATGGAGCCACCCTTGTGTGTGCTAGTAAGATGTGTGTGTTTCCATGAACACACAGACAGCAAGGCAAGGCATTCGCTTGCTCCTTGCTTCCCCTTCCTTTGTTTTACATGGTAGTAGATGGACAGGTGCTGGAGACTGTGCTGTCTATTGTGATCTTGTACTCAACAGAAAGTTCAGGGAAGCTGAGCTGAGATAGTCAGCTGTTCGGAAACATGATGACTTTAAGTGGTTGGCCAAAATTGTGGCGAAATACTTTACTGGGCAATGTGTATTTGTTTGAACTGGATTCATGATTGAAATATTTTGAGAGTTTAATACTATTTTAAGTAAATGGACACATTCACTAGCTCCCACACCACTGTCACTAACTTCTGTGTAAAGCCCTCCATTTCATCATACCCCCGCCGACCACTTGGGGAAACCAATGGAGCAGACCTATTAAAAAGGCCTTAGTGCGGACTGCAGCCAAAATGCAGCCTTGCACAAGACCTTCCCTCAACTCCTTGGAGATGATAGAAGTTAAAAGCATTGCAAGTGCCCCATCACCTCATTGGGAACCCACTGCCCATCGAGAGCCCCTGCACAGGATTAATCACATGCGCCATAAAGACCTGAAGGCTACTTCAAAGCAGATCACAGATAAACTAATTCGGGAAATCCACAAACTGGGCCAGTGGATGACCAACCTAGAATCTCAAATAGATGAGACCTCAGTGGCGATGGATGGCCATGGCAGAGATATCAAAGCCCTTAAAGATGACAACAAATGCTTTTGTCTAAGCTTAAATATCTTCAGAACAGGCAAATGTCCACATTTGGGGCATCCCAGAATCTGTGAATGGCCTCCAGGCCACCATCAGGGGTTTCATCAAAGCGTACACACATCTATTCCTCTAGTGTGCTTGGAAATTGAATGCATCCAAGCCCTGGTCCAACAATCCAGCTTGCACTAGCACTAGCTTGAAGCTTGCACTAGCACTGACGCTTCCCTGTCCAAGATGACATGGACATGCCCTACGAGACTGTCCGTAGATAACTAGTGACTCTATTAACAGTTTAATTCTCCCTACATTATTCCTAGCCCTGAGAAAAAATCATAGCCCTCTCTAGCTACATCAGGATGCTGTTTAGCTTACATCGGGATGCTGTTTAGCCCACCATTATACTGTGCAATAGCCTATTTGGCTTTGTGGTCACCTGCACCCTTTCTAGGAGACTCCAAAGATTCCATATGTTCTCTGTTTAAGCAAGATGTTATTCTTTTGGTTTTTTTTTATCCACCTCAGTCCTATGGTCTATTAGTCAGCCACATGGTTACCTTTAGTCTGACCCTTTGTCTATTCTTTGCGCACAGGTAGATTACCACCACAGGTATACAGGTGGCAGGCACTGTTGTAAGCTCTTGATAGGAATACGGGACTTACCCTGGCAATTGCTGAACTGTCACCAATGCTACCTAATTATACTAGTCACAATAACGCTTAGGATCGGTCACCTTTGACAAGAAAATTCCTACCCCCATAGGTACATCATTGTGCTTTAAGTTGCAAATACCTCATGTAGCTACAAGCTTTCTTTTGGTTCATTGAGTTTCACAGCTGACAGTTCTACTTTTGGATAGCTAGCAGGATGTTCTTCTCTGTTCATTAGTAAACATCCACCAACTCCAATTTTTCATTTGGCAATGCCCTATCCTTGACATTTGGTAATGCCCTATCCTGTCAATGAGTTTCACTCTAAAACTTACCACCTTCTCTCCATTGCAAGTGTACCTGTAATGTAATGTAAGGTAATGCAATAGAATGTTCTATCACAACATGCTATTGCACATTAGAGCAGCAAACGAGAGGTTCAGAACAAGCAATTTAGAGGGGCACTACTATTTACAGTCGCATGATTACCCATAGTCCCATGATGTCCTTGTTTGACCTATGTCACTATTTCTCACTGTGCTCAACATCTGCAATACTTGACTGTCCTGCCTTGGGTGATCTGGCAGTGGCCCCATACATCATTTTAGTGACGACTGAGGATATTGTTTGGGACTTTCTTTGACACCTGTACCTGATAAATAGTTATCCTAATCTGGTTTAGTTAACACTGTTACTTAAAGGATAATTAAAGCCTCAGTTTTTTTTTGCATAGATCTACTGCTAGCAAGCAGATCTATGCAAAAAGTGTAAAAAACAAAAACCCGCTTTAACAGAGGTTAATACTCACCTGTGTCTTCCCTGCGCGCTCCCGTCCGAAAATGTGAAGATCCTTGGGCCGCAGCAAAGCATCTCGGGGCAGGCGCATGCGCAGTTCACATTTTCGGCCGGGATGCGAGGAGATAGATGAGACACCGTGTGACAGGAAGTGCCAGCGAGCTCAGAGGAGTCAGCGCTGGATCGGAGACCAGCTGCAGCGCTGGAGGGACAGATAAAAAAGTACAGGAAAGAAGAAGATCGGATTAAGAAACATAATTTAAGGTAAGTGCTTTCATTAACATTGGGGGGGAAAAACATTGACTTTAATGTCACTTTAAGCTTGCTACTCTCTTTTCTTTCTCCATCTTACTCTCTTTTCAAATGTTAAATGTTTGTTTCCCCCATTAAAATTTTGAGAAAAAATGCCTTAGTGAACTGTACCTGGGGACTCTGTATGAGCATATCTTTGTTAGCACACAAAAGTTAACACACTATCTAGTGTATGTGATTCCATATTCTGGTGCTTGGAATTTAGATTACAATATGAAATGCCT